TGTTTAACTCCATTGTTTTAGTTAATTAACGATATATTGAGGAAGAGCTGTGGCGACCTATAGAAATTATTAAAAATAACTAAAATTGTGTATAATTTGACATTATAAATTATATATATATACACGTTAATAATTTAGTCTGCGTATACATGAAACAATCCAAACGAGTTTCAACGCACGCTTTTGCGTTTGTGAAGGCTAGAATGAACAAAGCAGCGCAAGGGTGGAGAGACATTTTCGGCAGCGCGCTTTTTAATCTCCGCTGTTTCGCAATCGTCCGAAATATCGCGGATTTATGCGCGCACAACTGATCGTGCGAGCGAACGACGGACGCTTTTAAATTCCGTCGATCGTCCATTGAAAACCGGATCGGGCATCGTTAACCCTACCAGTCCGCACACTATTCTCGGGTGTTATCGCGTCCTACCGGGAGGCAAGAACGTCGCCGGGATCCCGGGATTATTCGACAGTCTGAACCGACATCGAGACAATAATGTCAGGATTATGTCAAGTCCGATGAGGATTTCAACTGCCTTAGACGTGCGTCATTCAGTTGATGCAGCGCGCGGCTTCAAGTATTCTTGTAGGTTCAGATTGCTGACGACGATTTCCGATTTATCGATAATAACGTTCGATATTGCAGTCTCCTTACATTTTTCAACTATTCTACGCTATTTGCTTCCTGTATTATCCATTGTACTGAAGCGCTGCTTCGTAACTCCGTTATTTTACTGAGTTACATGCAGTCTGCTATTTGATATTCACGTTGCCAACTAGAACAACGTCCGGAATGTGCTCACCCTTTTTCCAAGATAAAGTCTCGAAGATGTACGAGGGCTACGGTGAATTATTCGTCGCACGTGTGGCACTATGCATCGCGTGTCTCGTGGCGATAATATAGGCGTGGTGTAAATGTTATGTGCTGCCATTCCGAAGATCGCGATCGCGTCGCGAGCAGCGGGATTTATTCAGTGACATCATCAGAAAAAGGAAAACATGAAAAAAAAAGAAGAAAAAAGCATCTCTATCAAAAATTTATATGAAGCTATATACAAAACAAGTCAATTAAGTTGCTGAAAATGACATATATGTATACTGTACCGACAAAAATTATTCTTAAAAACAGTGTTACATAAACAGTAATAATTTATTGAACAATTTTGCAACACAAAAATCTTATTTTTGCACTGTATGACTCTGTCTATATTTAAGTATAAAATGCTAAATTTTTTAGCGTTATATATTGTACATACGCTAAAATTTAGCATTTTATATCCAAATGTAAACAGAGTTGTACAATGCAAAAATAAGATCATTAATCGTTCGTGACTGCCTAATTCCGCGATATAAATTTTTAATTTATTTCTGCAGCTACATAAATCAGAACAGGTTCTTTTTTTATTGAAACAAACGCATAAAACTTGCAAGATTCTCCTGGTAAAAAATACCCGTTCCATTCTGCGGATATCTTAATAATCGTCTGTCTATTCAGGATACTTGAAGAATCCAATCAATTTTCCAATCAATTTGTCGGTGTAGAGAATAAACGCTTATTTCAGAAAGACGCCAACAGCAGAGCAGAAAATCACGGAAAAAAGGAAAGCATGATAACGAGCCACTTGTTAGAATAAAAATTTCTTTCTTTGTTCAACCCATTTTTATGTCTGGATTAATATTGCAAAATTTTTGTTATTTCACAAATAAAAAATAGTCCTTAGAAATTTGCTATTGCTTTGATTATCTACTACATATAAAAAACACAATATCTATAAATAAGATGCCTCGTGAGTTACAGCGCTGAGTTTATCAAGTGCCAAAATAATAACCGAATGCATAATAATACGTGCAGTTTTATATAATTGGATTAACAATTTATAATCCTTATTAACTCGGTTACAGACAATAAAGAGACATGACATATTTGCCCTGCGATATATAATCTCGTCATCGAAGAGATTTTTCTGCTTCGAAAAATAAAAATTTTTAGAATGCCTTCGATAATTGCAGATAATCCTCAGTAGCCTGTTTAAACAAACATACTGGTTTGCACAGCTATTGTTCGTTAATTGAATATTCATACAGAGCACAGTATTTACACTTTGTCGGATTATCGCGCCGACTGAACCCGAGGGAAATGTTTACAATTCAATATTTCGAGAAGATCATAATGAAGATGGACAATTTTCAAAAAAAAATTTGCAAAGTGTTGCAATTCTGCTTCTCAACGTGTTACATACAATCGATTGTATTTTTTCGATATCGACATTCAAAGAAAATTTTATGACTTGGTATGAGAAAGTTCAATGAGATGTCAATTCGTTTATTTTCGCGTCACATTATTATACAGTTTTACAACAAGAATCAGTAGTATAATCAAGCAGAAATAAATTCACGATAATGGTATACGTGCCAGTACAAAACGTGTAGTCTAAGCACCATTTCGAATTCAACCCTCGTTTCCTTGCAGCGAGACCTCCGGCAGGGCAGCGGGAGCTTCACATCGACGTTGCTTTGTGGAGGGTTGATCTGGCGGCCATGTTTGGTTAGAGAAAATTTTACAATCCCACCCCTCGTGGTCGGCCTTCACGATAGCAGCTTGCACGACACGTAAACTAACAAAGGGCTATAAGCTCGTAATATTGCATGAAGGTACACTTTTCTAAAACTTTGCAAACTATGACGTTGAAAATTCAACTACGAACAATGTTAGATTTATAACACTGTAATTTTTTTGTTATATTTCAAAAGAAGAGAAAATAAATTGTATTTTATGATATTTTTTCAATATTCTTCTTGTTTAAAAAAATGTCTTGTAACCCCGTGTGATACGAAGAAAATATGGATAAATGTTTGCATTCTGCGAACAGCTTTCGTGCGCCGTTTGTGAATTTCGAAGAGATTTCATGTGGACGGGTATAAAATGGTCGATCGAGAGGGGTGCCATGGCGACCATGTCGGTTCCCAATTAAACAAATGCCGGCAGGAACTCGAGCAACCCCTCAGGCCACTGGCGTCCAGCTCTCCTTGCTCTCTTGGTGTACATCAACGAATATACCCCTCTCTGTCTCTCGCTTTGCTGGCACGAGAGGGTTTCGAACGTCGCACGTGTCGTGCGGCATGCGAAACTCGAGCTGAATTCACCACGTGTGTATTTCATTCGAGAGCTACATTTACTCACAAAAGTTACACTGGCCTACGTTTGTTCAATGCAAAATGGCAAAAATTTTACATTATCTTTAACTTGTAAATATTATATTTGTAATTCGAGGAATTATTAAACAATAATTTTTATCAATTGTTGAAATAAAAAAAATATATAAATAACAGAGATTGGAATAATTTATTATTATATTAGCGTATAATTAGCGTAAGAATGTAATATAAGAATCTAAAAATGCATACATAAGGAAAAACCAAAATTTCGTAAAATATACGATTTTTTAAGTATCATTAAGTAATTTTAAATAAAAAATACAGACACGTTAAAAAAATTAAGGATTACCGGATGTTTTAGAAGCCCTTGTGTTTGATTACTAGTACTGGATGTGCACAATTTTTAGACCAAGTGTACCTATCTTCGCATTTCTCGCATCGTGCATCGCCGATCGCTCGCGGCGTTAATGCGATCGACAGAGCGTATGAATCACGTTCGCGAACAACGGTTTTGTAATCGCATGCTGTCTAGTGCATTTTAATAGCGAGCCACGTTGCTGAATATGATGGGGAATCTATATAAAAAACCACATAGGAAATTTTGAAGCTACCATATAATATTTGACGGGAATTCGCCTAAGTGTGGGAGAGATACAGGACATTCTGAACGTCGTCCTCTCTCGACTTCTGGATTACATTATGGGACCAAATATTGGAGCACCTCTTCAGAATCATGCACCGGCCGAACTGTTTGACTTTGCGCGATTGTGCGTTCGAACATCGTTACTTCGTTCGACGTACAGGGCTGTCAGTAACCGGACGACGACTATGGAATAGCTTTGCTAATCCGAAAAGCGGATTAAAGCAAACGCGAAGCCGATCCCGAAAGACGAGGTTTCCGACTTCCGTCGTGTGTACTCTGGAGTCGAGTATTATTATCTTGTTAGCGAACAATATTCCGGAAGAATGGCTTCATTCGAATCTGCGCTCAGTGCACAGAGAAAGATGTATGGAAACGTATTCACTTGCCTGCTATGCTTAGACAATCATAGTGCAAGGTCGTAACTTTATACAATCAGTATCAGTACAAGAATGCACTGAGAAGGTAATAATCATTTATATAACTGGTAAAAAATATGAGATACTCTCATAATTAATAGGAAAAAGTAAAAAAAATGATGTCTTTTGTTTTTAAATTTCCTCCCTGATTTTATAAAAGTGAAAAAATAATAATATGATGTAAATATTTTTAATATACATACATTTATGTATATTTATGAAAAATACTCTTCTTCATAAGCTGTAGCAAATAAAAATATAAAAATTTGATCTTTGAAATAAAAAGATTAATCTTTTATACGTAAACTGTTTTTCCAGTATAATCCGGATCTTCTTAAGACCATTATGGTAAAAATGTTTTCGTCATTAATTTGCTTATCCTTGTTGGTAGAGTGACAAGCATTTTCGTAATTCTGAAAGTTTTATTAGCATTTTATTAGCATTTATATGATGTTGACTAAACCTATTATTCTATGTGTCTTAGAAAGTCTAATTATTTGTACCGTAGTGATGGTTGCTTTATTCACCTGTACAATGTAATTTATAATATTTAAAATGTTGTTTTAAATATAAAAAATAACATCTCTTAAGGAAATGTGATGTAATGAAAGATACTCTACACTATTTATACAAATGTTTCATAAATTGAATAACAACTATTTTACATCCTTCATGTCATAGATTAAAAAATAATAGATATTTGGAAGAGAAATTATTACTTTTAAATATTTTTAAATATGTATAGAATATATTATTATATATTTATATAAAATATACTTTATTGTGTATCGTAAAATTAATTATACATTTTACCAAGTATAGGTTTTTATATTCAATTTACAGCGTATTGGGTATATAATGCTAGATAAAAGAATTGATAAAAAAATTGGACGTGAACAAAAATAAAAGTAAACAAGCAATATTAAAGTTACGTAATTTATTTATCCACTGGACTTGCTCCTTACTAACATTCTTCTATCTCGATACATCGATCCCAATAATTCTCTTCTCGCACATATCCATTTCTACAGTAACAACCACATTTCTGAAAGAAATTAATAATATTAAAACTAATAATATTAATTATAAACAGAAATATTTAAAACACGTAATACAACATTTTTCATACGAAATATATTTTATTTTGTCAATTTTATATTGGTTTTTAATTTAGCATGTTCTAATGATATTTTTAATGCATTTTTTTAATATTAAATTCGAAAATGACAATAAAAATGTTGTGTCACACAGTTATTTTACACGTTTAATTTTCTTATGTTCTAAAAAATATGAATGTGGATTTAATACTGCTAATGGTAACAAAATTTATATATATTCTATCACGAGAATGGGATATTATTATTGATACTGTATACTGTGAAAATCGAAAAGCAAATACAACTTCTCTGGCATAAGAAGAAGGATGTACTAAACCTTTTACATAAAATTTAAATGTAAATAATCAAATCGTACAATTTTTGTGACTTTTTTGTAATCTATTTTAAATATATTTAAAATATGTTCTAAAAGTTAATTTTTTGTTGTAAAAGAATTGTGGGTGATGGAGCACATTTATAATTATTTTCGAATTTAGGTTATTAAATTCTTATAAAATCAATATACATTTTGAAAACAATTTTAAAAAATTGTAATTTTGTTGCTCTGTGTAATTAATTATTATAGGATGAAAAAATTTTTACTGAATATATCATTAACATTCTGATATCTTACAAATAAATTATATCATTCTTACTGAACATTTTTTTTTATTACAAAATAAATTTTAATATAATACATTAAATATTGATTCATTAATGTGTGTGTGTGTGTGTGTGTGTGTGTGTGTGTGTGTGCACTTACAGGGGGATTTGAGCAAGGTTCATATAAGTTGTCACAAGTTGTATCACAACTCCGTCCACATCGCCATTCCTCATGTTGGCCAGAACAAACTACTAGCATCACGTCTAAAAATATACGCGTATTAGTACAGTACATTTTAGTAAAAAAGAAACAAAAAATTGATTCTTTAATAAAAATTTATACATACATCGTAAATATAATTTAGATTTTTTTTGTGCTTAGTAAGGCTGAGTTTCCACTGAGCGCATCACGCGTCGCGTCGTGAAAGAGAGAAACAAAGAATATATATATATATATATATGTACACACACACACACACACAACCTCTCTCTTTCTCTCCTTGTGGAGGCTGAGTGGAAACTCAGCCTAAGTCATTTTATAAAAACATTCCAACAAGAGACAAATATTTATGTCTAAATGTGCCTACATTACATCAATGTATATATTTTTATAAAAATACAGAAAATCAATATAATTACCTGCAACAAATACCGTCAATCCAATAAATAATATTATCATTATGCGCGACATAATGTATTTTGAATTCTGCACAATTCACAATGTACTCCGACTAACTCATATGACTGATGCGATCTGTTTGAAGGTTTTTATACGAGCGGTTCCACATTAGTAGCAGAATTTTCTAATATCTTCTTAGAGGGTTGTCGTTATCGCTAACTAGCGACAACCAATGAGAGCTATGTTTTTTTTCTAGAACCGTCCTTACATTGGCTGTTGTTAGTTAATGATAGCGACAATCGTCGATAAGGCCGACCACACACGTTCATGCAAAAAAGGACTTGGTAATAATAGCTAAATATCAATTACTAGTTTAAACTTTGCTGTTATTGCGAAAGATGACTATTTAAAATAAAATACATTTGTTGTCGACACGGACGTCCAGTTTTGTTAGTTAAAATTAAAAGCATACTTAAAACAAGTAGCTAAGTAAGCAGTAACTATTCCTCACTATCTTAGTCGCGTAATCGAGCATTCCATTCGCAATTGTTTATAAGACGCTGCTGACTGCCTGTTGCATTGGTAACATTGTGTGGCATGTTCATTGCGTCTATTTCCAATTTTGCGCGCGCGTATTTCGATTTATTCTATAGTGCGATAGATTTATTTTCAAGAGAAAAATGGATAAAGCAGCTCTTAGCTATTAAATTAGTATATCAGCTACTAAATGATTTTTTGATCTTGAAACGCAAACTATACTAAATTACTGCAGTAATATCACAAAAGGATTCTAAAGACGATTAGTTACATTGTAAATAGCAATTACACACAGAGATCTTGTTAATTTACAGTTAATTTACATTAAGGTGATTATATCCCCAACTATGCGAGTCAACGACAGACTCAAACATAACTATAAATTTAAATCAATATATATTGTTATATAAAATCTAAGAATACTAGATTTAGATACTAGACTTCGTCAATTCTCGAGAGAATGTATAAAATCAAGAATTTTTATTGATTCAAACTTTAATATCATACGATATATTTGTGGTCTTGTTATACATGCTTCTTCATAAATTCAACTACATGAGACTCGTTTTTCATTAACTTCTTGAATGCGGTTTCGATGTTATATGAAAATTCGTGTCATATCACGGCGAAAATGACTATACTATAATGGTCAAAATAAAAAAATCTGCAATTGATTATATCTCAGGAACGGGACGGTAAATTTTACAGGCATATATATATATTAATACCTCTAAATTATTTGAAACAAAAGTTTCAAGACATTCTTGAATAATGTGTTTTAGGGTATAACTTAATAAAATAATAAAACAAATATGCGCGCACGCCATTGTACAATACTCTTGATTTAAAAAGTTATTTATTTTAGTAAAATTGCTATTGAATAAACAAGACTTTCGATTAGATTGCTATTGGCAAATGCTATTAATACATCATTTTTTGCGTGTATTAATTTTTAAACGCAGTAGCTAATATAAAAATTACTTCTATCAAATTTGATGACTACAGAGACTAAAATCATAGAACTAACAGCGAAGCATATAGTATAATGCAAACAATATAATGATTCTCAATCTTGCTGCCAATATTATTAGTATTTCTATTGTTAAAAAAAACTAGCTCTCTTAGTATATTTTTAGCTAAACATTATTTTACTCTGGTAGCGAGTATTTTTGCTGTAACACTTAAATTTTAATAGCAAATAAATTGAGTGTTGACAATAACAACATTAGCTAACATTCCCTATTATAAGAACATATTTTAACTGCCAAGACTAAAATTTTAGCTGTGTGGCTAATCTTTTCTCTGAGTGTTAAACTTTGCATAAGCAAAAGTTGCGTAAGTTGCTTGTGCAAATTTATTTAAACGTGTGTCTGCAAAAAATTGCACAATTATTCTGATTTGCACAAATAATTTAAATAAATATGAAAATTCATTCAATATGCTTACGCAAACGACTTGTACGAGAAAATTGGAGCTTAAAATCTAATCAGAAGTCTATTCGCGCATTGCTTGCACTTTTTGCACTCAGCATCTTCGTCTTCTCTTTTTTCCAATACGTGAATGTAGATTTTAAGCATACCACATATTGTTTGATTTTAGCTATCAAATATCACTTCAACTATCAAATTTTTGATACAGAAATAGTTTCATATTAACAAAATTTTATATTAGCTATTGCGTTTATATTGATATACGAAAAAAATGTTGTGTTAAAAGTATTTGTCAACAACAATCTAACCGAAGGTTTTGATTATTTAGTTTTTTTAAATTAGAGATTCAGTATTACTGAAATAAATAACTGTGTTTAAAACAAGAGTATTGCATGATGACGTGTTTGTTTTATTAATACCGTAAATTAACAAGATTATTTTTAATTGGATGTATATATAATGCTATTAATTTAACATTATTTTTCTTAAACAATAAGAATCTTATTAAACTGTATACGTGAAAACACAATCAATAAGAAATAGAGCCAATAACGGTCGAAGGTGGATCTTTAATGCTTAAATAATTCGGCGTCGATTTATAAACTATGTAGTTCTTCAAACTACGCGCTGATATCATTTTTTAATCATTTAATATTATTAAGATTGAGTTCTAAGATGAGCATCAAATTATTAAATTGTTAATTAATTTAACTTGTGATATTACTGCGGTAATTTAAGTGCAATTTGCGTTTTAAGACTAAAAAATTATATAATCATTTAACAGCTAAAATATTTCACCTATTTCTCTTGAGAGAAATGGATAAATAAATGAACTATCGTACTAGAGAAAAAATCGAAATATACGAAATCCGAAATACACTACGCAATGAGCACGCCATACCATGTCACTAATACGATATTACTCCCAGCCACAGCGTTCCAGAAACAATTGCGAATAGAATGCTCGATTACGCGACTAAAATAGTGAGAAATAGTTACCACTTACTTAGCTACTTAACAAAGCTGGATGTCGGTAACAAATATATTTTATCTTAAATAGCCAACATTTAGCAAAGTTTGACCTAACAACTGACATTTAGCTGATACAACTAATTGTAAATTTTTTTAACTACTAACTGATATTTGAATGATATTACTAAGTAATAAATATCTTTGTTTTGCACGTATTATGTTTATTAATAATAATAATTAATTTGTTATGAATCTCTTCTGTAATATGTTACAAATACGAGATAATACGATTTAGGCAATCGGTTGTCTAATTGTATTTTTATAGGCCTTTAAAATCGCATATTTCCTTTGAAAGTATATTGAATTTATAATTAAAAATAATTAAAAGTATATGGTTAATAAAAAAAGTCATTAAATAATATCTAACAACTAATGCTTAATTTTAATCATTTATTGAAAAAATCAAATATTTTATAGTTGTTAAAAAGCAATAATAAAAAGACAAATGATGTTAAAGTAAAATTAGTTCAAACATATATATTTTACACTTGACAGTTGTATCTATTCAAATCAATTATTAGTTTTACTATTGTCAATTATTAGTTTTATTTTGTGATGATACGATTTAGGAAACGTAATGGATTTTGTAAAAATATCGATTTAATCTTTATAATATGTAATTGCAAATATTATATCTATCTATGTATAAAGAATGTAAAATATTCTACAATAAAGTTTCTAAAATTACAAAAATTTATAGTAAAATTAGATGATTACGTCATTATCAACTAAGTATAACTGAATAAACAAGTAGTATCGAATGTACATCATTTTGTCAAACGTCACTAACGTCCATAAAATAAGATGTACATTTTATCTTATTGTATTATTCATTTCTCATTTATTGTATATTATTGTTACTAAATGGCGCTTATATTACGTAATAATGTAATAATATAAATAATTTGTATTTCAAATTAAAAGATTGAAAGTATTTCATATATTTTGTAATTTCAATACTAATTAAAATTGGAACGTTTGGAAATTCCCGCGAAAAATTACATAATACTTATATCTTCGTGAATGTAATGCGTATATAATATTCGCATGGAATTGTAACTTTTCACATATAAATTCATCGTTCGTAAATGCTCTTTTTTCTTCGCATCTGTGACTATGAAGGCAAGTTATTTAAAGATAATTTCGTGTCTGCTAATGGATAAGCGATGGAAATTATAATGCATCTGAGATGTCTTCTCTTTTCTTTTTTAAAGTCGTTCAGTCACCTTCAAGCTGTACGATACGCACACGGGGAAGGCCGTGGAATAATAGAGATATTGTCTGTCTGGCAACGTGTGTTATTCCCCGTTTTATAACGATAATAAATCTTGCAAAACCGGTGTGTATATTATACTGGATTATATATATATAATATATATATATATATATGTCATACGACCTGTTGCCTTCTTAAGCTTCTAATTTTATACGTGTATTGCATGCAACAGAAAAACTAAGTCGTTATTAATTATTCATCAAAAGTTAGTGTCATAAAAAAATTAGTTAGTATCATCAAAAAATTAGATATGTGTTACATTGTTTGGACATTGTATTTAACATATATAACATTGTTTATATTTACAAATAAAATTTTGCAAAAGAGGATATCTCATCTGCATTATAGGTGTATACATTCGATGCTTTTGAATATTTTCTACATAATGTTTAATTAAATTTATATTCAACATTTATTAATTAATAAAAAATTGTTATATAAATAAAGGCATTTTATAGTATCGTGTGTTGCTGAATAATAGAGAAATGAAATTTTATAATATGACAAAATTGAAATATAATAATAAAATACAATAATAAAATTTGTAAACCTCTGTTGTGGCTTACGATATATCTAACATTATTAATGCAGACGATAATAAAACATTTTATACAAATATAAAATAATTATTAATAATTATATTCCTACACATAATTTCTCGACACAGTCCATCTTCTCTCCAATATTATGACATTCCTTTGTTTTATTTACGCATTTATATCTGGTCATTGAACTGCAATCTTTTCTTTTCATCTTTTCATGAGTATTTTAATAGTTTTTTTTACTATTATAATTATATTTTTGTAGACATTATTATATCTAGGTGTGTTTCGCACGCGTAAATCATGATTAAGCTGGATTATTCTACCTTTCGGTAAACTTCAGCTCACTGTGATATTCTTTTACTCTTCTGTTTATTCAGTAGGTAAAAATTACATAGTTTATCCGAAGATGGAACAACCGACCCTTAATAAAAAGTAAATATAACTTTTGTGGAGAAAGTTGAGTAAAGATACTCCAGATATATTTCGTGATTTGTGCATACATATCACGTGTTGGATTGCGGTCAGTCGTCGTAAACTCACGATAGGGTCAGTGGGACAAAGTCACAATAGTTATCATCTACTTGCTGCTCAACACAAAAGCTGGACGGTGAAAGCAGCGCAGCGTAACAAGAACAAGGTAGGACATAGAATGAGGGAAAGTACGAAGATTGACCAGGAAAACGAAAACCGGCGAACGAGGGGGGACTCTCGAGAATTCTCGATCGAGTTTTCTGCCGTCAGAGCCGAGCGGTGGTGCGTTGTGAAATGCTGAATAAGACAGCCGAGACAATGAGAATAGTACGTGGGACAATTACACGCCGGGTTTTCCAAGTAATTAAGTCGTCGGCTCGCCGTTGTACGAAAGCAGTTTTCGTTCGTGCATTCGTCTAGCGCATTTTCAAATCCTTGCGATATCGGGAAGATGGGTTGGTAATCGACTACAGTTCTCGCCTTTTTTAGAATAAAGATAAGAAAGTTCTTTCACAAGTGTCGTGCGTATTTAATATGAAAAAGTCATTATTTATAACGCGGATAGCCATGTAAATAAGTCGATAGATTAAATTTTTTAGACATAGTTAGGTTGTACTTTATGATGTTTCGGGTGAGTGCATTATCTTGAAATAAATTATTCTAATCGCTTTAATTCAAGAATGAAAATAATGTTCCGAATGAGTTTACACACAATAATTCAAGTTTGAAAAATCACAATAAAACTGCATTAACTTACATAACGTGAGTGATTAAATCACAATATTAATTTTTACGACTTGCTACATCATCGACACTCAAAAAGATATCGTGAGCGCTGAGTTTAATTATAATAATTTACCGTATATGTTTATTAAGTTGTAATTTAATTATTTAAATATGTAAAGTTACTGAGGATGACTTCATGAAAGGTCGAAACGCTTGACATCATGTTTATTTTATATTATTATTAAAAACATTGTTTTTTAAAAACTAATGTTTTTCACATGGACAGTCAATGTGGTACATACATATATTCCCTAAAGATAATTATATATATATATATATATATATATATGAGCCATTCTTAGTTAGATATAATAATTAAAATCTTCATTCTAATAAATTCGATTCGAATCGCCGAATACTCGTATCAGCGCGCTTTTTACGCGAAATAAAAAAACTATGTGCCAGGAGAATGAAGGGGGAAGCAGAAGGGTCAGACTGATTCACTTGGGCCATCTCGCCGATGGCGAAATAGCATTTAGGGTAAAAGCGTTCGGGAAACGGCCAGATTGAGCGACCATCGGAGCTTACGCCGACAAAGTGGACACAACGTACACATTTTGTAAGCCTGAAATTTCCCGATTGATCGAACAAGAGTTGTGTCCTGTCTGTCTCTCGATTCTAATTGCTGAATATCAGCAATTTAGCATAGTTCGCTATTTTTAAAGTTATAACGATAATGTATCTTACATGAGATCTTACTTTTTTCTGAACGACTAATTTTTAATCGCCAGTATATGATAAATAGAAAAACATACGATTTCTCAAAGACGATGTATCGAATGGAAAATATCATCCGATAAATAAAGAATTATTACAAATGAAATATTTAACAAGTTGCTGCAAATATTAACTGAGTGTTAAAACAGACAGCAGATTTATACAGAGATTGCATGTACTTTTTTCAGTTAATAATTGCTATTTCTGAAACTCACATAGCAGTAATAAATCTAATTGTAAAACAATTCCCCGATGCACGTATAAACTAACGAAAAACGTAGAATAAAGATAATAACATACATAGAAAGACGATTTTGTTGAAGGATAAAAATTTAGCAGATACTAGATACAGATCTAAATAATTTTATTAACCATTAAAATAATTACGTAGGATATTTAAAATAATTGTTAGAATGTTAAAACATTTTGCTCCTCATGCTTAAGATTTCTTATGTAATTATTGTACGGTCTAATAAAATTATTTTCGAATTTATATGTAGCTAAATTTTTAGATCCTATAGTAAAGTTCTTTTCATATAGCGCATAAGAATAAAGAATAAAGAGTAATTATATATTCTATCAAGAAGAAGTTCCATTAATATTTTCTGACACTATGATTACTACTATATTGGAATTCTGAGTAATGTAGTTAGTGGTCATGAACGTAGTTTTAATGTGTATGTGTGCGCAATTGCATGAAGATCTGTACTGACGTAATACAGATAGAAAGAGATAATAGATATTATTTTTTTAGAACAAACTACTGACAAGGTCTGCTAATAAGCAGATGGGTATAAAAGCGCAGCATGTTTCGCTGACAGGATCAGTTGATGAAATAAAGTGTAAGAATTATTAACCATGTCTCGCGCTAGTTTTGTATTGTTTGTAATGATTGGAATAATCTGCAGTAAGTTTTCACACGAATTCATTGAATTTTTTCAGTCTAAGACTAATTTCAATTTTCATAAACCTTTCATAAACCATTATTGTGTATCTTAATTCCTTTTTTTTAATTGTATAACTTTAATATTATAATTGAACTTAACTGTAATTTTCATAACACACATTGTATGCGCCTAGGCACGACTATTGCACAGGACCAGTGCGGGAGAAATCAAGAGTGGACCACTTGTGGATCGGCATGTCCACCATCTTGTAACTCGCCGCCTAATCGAGCCTGCACATTAGTATGTATTATTTAATTTTACTAAATGTGCTAATTTCACTAAAAGTTTTAGTACTTATTTTCGAACGCTTAACTGTAGAACATTATTCTAATATATAAGTACATTGTAACACAGATTTTAATTTTACAATACTATTCTTTTTCAGCAATGTATTATAGGATGCCAGTGCAAAAGGGGATATCTGCGAAATTCTTCAGGAGCATGTGTGCACTCTACACAATGTTAGAAATTAATTGTATGTACTTACTAAAGAGTTGACAACTTTTATTTAATGTCAACGAGATTTTTACTAAACATTTTTAATTAAAAATCATGTCTGTCGATATACCAATACGTATTAACATGTATTGTTAGATGCAATATGACATAATTATTGTTGTTTATATATAATAATTACTAATTATAATAAAACACACATAACAAATTAAGATTTACTATTATAAATATTTATCTCTCTATTAATACTAGATATCTATATTTTTGTAAAGTTAAAATAATTGAAAATAAAAAATTGCATGAAAATGTTCTTTCTAAATATTAATAAGAAATAATTAAACGGTGTGCGTATATTCTATAAATTAATTATACAAAAAACACAATAAATTATCTGTTTTTTACAGATACCTATAAATAATATTATATAAATTTTATTAAGTTAATGCAAACAATAAATAAACTCTATAAACTAATCTCGAATAAAATCATTTTTATGTATCCAGTATAAAAACTGCGCGAGGAGTCAATATGATGAAACTTTTTGTGAGAATTAAACACTCAATATACGAGTACTCTCTTTATTCTTGCGTTAATTTTAATTCTAATTATATTTTTTCTTTTATTTTTTCGGAAAAATCTTTTCGGAAATCGTATTCCAAGATAAAGGCACAAACATGATGATGGAATATGTTCAGGAAATACGTATGATTTATATTGAAACATAATAATTGTGTAAAGTTTGAATGATATATAAAAATACAACAAATACCTATGATTAATATAAGACTTTGAATTTTCTCTTTATGTTGTACATGTAAAAAATAATCATTTGTGTTTATATGTTTAATATATTAAAAATATATTAAAAATAATTTACTATATGTATGTAGTATAATACATTTAATATTTTTAAAAATACTGAAATATCTTTATGTTTTCTGAAATTATTGAGCGAGAATAGTGTATAATAAATCCAGGCATTTTGTTAAGTCCTATAAAATGTTTCCTATCAAAGTTAATTATAGAAAAGAATCCGTACGTATTGATTCAAAGTAAGGAGCAAAGTCTAACATATAGCATTAAAATCAGCTGGACATCACACGTTTAGCTGTTTTTTTTCCTTATCTCATACAATATATAAAAAGATTATATTATCTTCTTGTGTATGTACCTATAATGGAATCATTATAATTTGTATATTTTTAATTTTATAAAGCTTATTTAAGTAGATAGGTTATAAAAGAATTTTATAATATAAGTTTCAAAATGGATTTTCATTTATTTGGAGAGCGCGCAAAGAAAAGAATCACGTGGAAGATGACGTTTATTTTTTCACTTCTTGTCAGATTTCTAAGAAACGAACGAAGATTCGTACGTCAATGCTGTTTAAATAGTAAAAAAAGGTTTCATGGACAGACTTGACGGAATAAGATATTAGCAAATATTGAATATATATGTTAAGAGAGGCGCCGCATACAAATGCAGTAGTATAATTAGTTATCTCCATATTTATCATAAGATATATAATTTTATTATTGTATTATTATATTTAGAGTAATTTCTTCTTTATATAAATGCGCGAAGGTCAATTTTTATGGAAACATGTAAAATTGGAAAAAGTAATTTTGATATTATCCTATATGTCAATCATATTTATCTACATGAGAAAATACACTTATGAATGCGTTGTCAATTTTAGGGAATTTATTTAAAATAAATATTTATAAATTTTTTATTTTATGTATAAAAAAAAAAACACTTAAAACACTGAGCGCATTAAAACATGAAATGTACGTTAGAAACTTTACATTTCATTTATTCTTAACGTAATAAGTATAACGTTATTTATCTAGAGGATCAAACAATTAATATGAAAAGGCATGTAAATCTTTATAGGTAAATGGCATAATGTGTTTCTTGGAAACAAGATGTATAATGAGAGTAAAATGGTAAATTCAAATAGTAGAGGTCACTCCAAGAGATATAGTCGACCTCTTTAGCGAGAATGCTTTTGTTTTACCAAAATTATTTTTCGAACGTCAAATAAGTGACTAAATTGTATTATATATGTTATATTCTTATTGGTTAAATTAACTGATACTTAAATTTAAGTATTTACTTAATACTAGTATTCAAAACTTTTTTATGTTTTAAACGTGCAATTATCTTCAAATTAAAGAGAATTGACAATCAATAATAAATGATTAATTACAAATGTCTGTAATTACAAATAATAATTATATTTAATACTTAATTACAGATGTTTGTAACCGCGATAAAATATTACGTTGGGGATAAATATATGATTTCTATCTTTTTATCATTTTCATAAAATAACTATTAAGTCTAAATTTAATTTCGATATTATTATATCTTAGATTAATACTTGGTTTCATAAATTCAAGACTTCTGCTTGTAAATTAGATTATAAGCTTACCGATAGGCAACAGACATTTAAAATTCATATCGCGCGTTTCGATAACAGACCGAACTTCTGAGCAAGTAGTCACGTACAAAACTGAGATGAGAGTCCATTGAGAGAAAGAAGGATGTATATCCAAAAAATATCTATCTTGGGAGACAACGTGTCGCGGTCGAAGGCCGCCCACTGTCGTATATATATATAAGCTCAGTAAAGCTATCATCAGTCTAGTTCGAGTTGTACGAGTGCAAGTAACACGAATTCGAAAACATTAGCCATGGTCCGCGCAGTAGCTTTTCTCCTGCTCGTTGTGACAGTCGCCACCATCAGTAAGTATAACATAATAATAGTCAAAATTATTAAATATCGAAATTTTACTACAATTGATTTTATCTTGATACTATACCTATAAGATTGTACGAACGTTAGATTGATGCGTAAGATCGTAAATAATCGAATCTGTCAAATAAAGATACAGATAAAGTTACAATGAAGTTAAAGTGAGATTATGTATAGTTTTAGCCTCACTTTTTTTATTTAAAAAAGAATTTTTGAATCCTTTTTTAAAATTTACTGTACTTACAATTCAAGAAAAAACTTATTTAAAATATACAATTTAATGAAAAAGAACGAATCTTATGAGTCAACCTATTTCATCGATTAAAAAACAATTAATAGATAGAATTGTGTACATTGTAAACGTAGAATAAGTTTTCTGCTGACAACAAGCATATATAACTTGATGACAGTTATTTTACAGAACTCGTTGCAGAAGATACATTTATGAAATAAAGAAAATGCAAAATTAAAGAATATTTTAGATAATAACAATATTTATAAAAACCGTTACTACAGACAAATAATTAAGTTTTAACTGCATTTGTACAGGTGCTGCGCCTAATTGCGGTCTAAACGAATATTACAATAGTTGTGGTACATCGTGTCAACCCACATGTCAAAATCCATCACCACGAGTCTGTACCCTGGTTAGTATTGCATTTTCTAAAGAGAAACATGTATTAAAATATTTGTTAAACAATCTTGTTATAGATTATAAAATTTTTTTGTGTTAAAAAATATCAGACATCGAGTAATTTTTATAAATAATAAGTTTAGTTTAATTAATTAAATTCTTAATAAATAGAATCTATAAATATACTTGAAATTAAAAAATAATTTTGTTTAAATATAAAATCTTTGGTATACTTATATTTGTTTTATTTTGTTTTTTTAGGCATGTGTTGCTGGATGCGAATGCATGGAAGGATATCTAAGAAATGCAGAAAACCATTGTGTACCTACATACAATTGTTAATCAATCAGAAAATATGATTTTCTAACCAGTATTGTTTCGCATCATGTAAAATGATACACAAATTTAACAGAGATTAAAACCTTCTACAAAAATCATTTTGTTATACAAATCTATAGTTGTACCCATTAGTCTGAACAATTGTAGTGTATTAAATGAATGTACTGAATTGTTTAATTTTGTAAAGTTAACATTGAGTTTCATGTTTTTAATAAAAAAATTAAAAATATAAAAAAAACTGTTATTCTAGAATTTTACACATGCCTATGATTTTTTACGAATTTTTGTTAATATCATAAATGTAGCAATTATATATTTTAAATTTAAAAAATATAAAAATAATATATACATAATAAGAAAAATTATATATATATATGTAATCGATAATATTTCACATAATATATTAATATCCTTCATCGGAAAAGATGAAAAAGATATATGTGCATTTTTAAATGTACCTTTTAATGCATTTAAAAATTTAAGATCTAGATTAAGATCTAAATTGTATTTAGAGAGATCTTATATTTGATAAGAAATATATGAAGTATTTAAATAGCATTTAGATAATAACAAGAATACGAAAAGATGTAGATTATACTTTTGATAATTACAAATCTTCCGGTCATTTCAGTTAATTGTCGCAAACATCCTGTACCGGATAAAACATCATTAAGAAAAATAATCTGTTTCCTTATATAATAGCAAAATATGTTTAGTCTGTGCTACATGTATACTATATGGCATGAAAGTTTATATACATCTTTTCCTGTTATTATATAATATTAAATAAAAAAAATTATTAAGTTACCGTTTTTGATAAAAAAATATTCTTATTAAAAAAATAATAAAATCAAATTATAATAATATTCAAAATTGCAAGATGTTTTGTTATTTTTGGTCAGATATTATCAGATTATATGTATTAATATCGATGTTTAATTTTGCTATTTCTCATATATTCACAGAAACGTCGTATTATATTTCTACTATGATTTCTACAAACTTTAGATAACGAAGTAACGTATGAGATAAGCTTCGTAGATAACTAAAACTCTATATAATCTGGGTTAACATTTTTGCCGCACTGAGATAATTTCCAAGAGACAACAGTTGTGAATGACGCATATTAGTGTAAAAAAAAGTTCCCAAAAGCGTCTCACGAAAGCCATACAAAAATTACATTTCCTTATTGACATCGTGACAAAATCACGAAAGTTATATAAATATAGCACCTTAAGAGTGATCAAATATTTCAAATAATAATTGTATAGAATAAGATTTTGATATCACTTAAGTTTTATTCCCCTTAAAAAAGGCTTAATTTTTTATGTTTACATGTTGAAATTGTTAATATGTTTTTTTCTCATCGCATCTGATGCGATAATCGCAGGTTAATCATGCACAATTTACACATTCTGATACGTATGACATGATAACAATCTGATATTAATCATATTTACGCAGAAATAGCAAGCATATATTTGAAAAGTAATGCGACTTTATGAGTCATTTTAAAATTGTTATTATTTTCAAAATAAAAGTTAAATAGAAATAACGGAGATTAAATTAAAGACATGTATTAGTAACAATAAAAAAATTAATAAAAAATATGATCGTAATGGGACAATGTCACATCGACATCCTTCAATTTAATATAAGCTCCAATCCTAAAATCGGATTACTCACATGACCGATTGTCTTTATTAATTAAAGAGGTAGTTAATATCTTAGGCATCTTGTACCTTCGTCATATGATCCTCTATTCCTAGACCGACAGTTCAGAAAACTGAATCCCATCAGAGGACAATTTATCATTAATGGAATTAAGCAGCGCATTATTATGCGATTCGCAAGCAGATGAGAATTTCGTGAATTAACTATTCTTCCTGCTAATGCGTTAGTAAATAATCTAATTTACGAATTGATTTCTAATGTTGAGACTGACTTAGTTTTACAGCGACATGTATAATTAAGAAGAAACATAACCGTAGTGAGACATGAGCGATGAAGCAATATTTTTCAAAAAGTTGAATACATTTTTTAAAATTGTGATCATCAGAGAGGTATAATAATTTTAAACTAATATTTCATTAATTCTAGAATGCTAATAATACGTAAATCTTACGTACAGGTAAGTGAGATCATTAAGCGCTAAGTTATGACTTCAGTGGTCATTATGAGATCCAATCTGTCATGCTAAAATCTATATAGGACAGGAAGAAGCTTTATTACGATTCCAGTATTATAACATAAAGTATAAGTTTCAATTTGTTAATTTTGTGTTATCATTTTGCGTTATTATATGTTTTATTAAAGAGACACATACACATAATTGGATTACATACTTCATATCAATTTTATATTAAACTTGATTGTCTTTTTATTTCATTCCTTTTAAATTAATAATTAGGTTATTTGTGTGTGTGTATAAAGATCTAGATTATAAATATGTTATCATTAAACATGTGAAATGTATAAAAAATTTATGTCACATTAATTAAAAGTGGTATATTTTCCTGTATTAAAAAAATGTCTGATTGAAAACGATGATTGAAAACGTCTGATTGAACGAATTCAAATTTTCTGGATTTTTAGTTAAGTTAATCGGAATTCTGCTTAACATTTATGATACAATCTATTAGAATTCTTATTTATACTAGAATAATTATATTTATCAGAATTCTATCTCAACTACGATTCTAGTAAATTTAATCAGAAAATATTTTGATTCCTCCATTTTCTATCAGAATTATTTAATCTAACCAGATCGTTTTTCACGTTTAGCGGGACAAAGTGAGCAGAATCGATTTTAACTAACATTTTTATTTGTTGCTCATTTATTGCTAACAAGTTGCCAAAAAAAACTAATAGAAGAAATTTTTTTGGCACCTTAGCAACAAATAAGTGACAAATATGTTATTATAGTTAAAATCGATTCTGCTCACTTTGTTCCGCTAACTTATAAAACATGAAAAATAATCTGGTTAGATTAAATAATTCTGCATTATAGAGTTAACATAAATGAACATTCGAACGTTGTATCAGTTACTATACCAAATCATGTTATGTCATAATACGATATGACATGATATGCGATTATTTTCTTTATGAAATACTGCATGCTTCGCTACCCCGAAGAGAACAAACATCCGACGTATGATGAAGAATGGCGTAATATCCAGTTCATTCCTTCAGAGTAGATATTTGACATTCGGCAAATACCATGAACGACGCGCGTGGCTATCGTCCCATTGCTAACGTCTCAAATCGTAGTCGAGAACCCTCAGAGAGATCTGAATCGTCAGTTTTAGAGGGAAGCATGCGATAGTGGATGATCAACAAGAATGAGGGGAGAGAAGAGGAAATTCGAAGCATATTCGGCTACCGCGTTTCCGGTCGGTCGATTCAATATGCCGGACCGATAAAGCCGAATGTCGACCCGGCAGAGACAATACGACGTTCGAGATGAGGTTGGTGAAGGGAATACGTTTCGCATAGCTGGTCTGTTGTCAACGTACAACAACTCGCCGGGGATATGCGAATGAGATGAAAACTTTAATATATAGAAGATTCTTTGCTGCAACAGGAAGATAATTTTTAAATATTCACTAACTAATAAGATCAATTGAAAAAAATCAAATATAACTACATTTTTATTTAATTATGTTTTATAGTTTGTAAAATATAACTGACGTACATAATAACTTATGTGATAAGAAATGAGTTATATGTATATGATGCGAAACATTAACATTACATGTCATTGCAATATGTTACATGTATTTATGACTTAAAATATCTCTTTTTAAATTATATTCTATCTCATTTTTATACTACGCAATTTTTCTGTTAATTTCGAGTGAAAAATTGTATGCATACAGAAAGCTAAATAAAATATCACGATTATCTCTTTTATGTCAGCTCACGCAGATGAAACACAATCCACACATGAAACACAAACATTAAATGAAATTACAAGTTCGAATAAAATTTTAATTTTTTTCCCACTGACGTGTAATATGGAAAAATGATTTAAAGATAAAAAGACGCGTCTTTTCCAAGATGAAAAGCCTGGGGGACTTGATTCATTGCATCCGATCGTCCCATTTCTCTACAAAGATTTAATCTATTCCGAGCATTGCAACCCAATCGAGATCTACTGTGGATCAGAATTTACGTAAATCGAAAAGTTTCAGAATGGAACTCACAAATCTCTGCAATTTGATCGTATGTCTTATATTCAGACAATCGTCCGGAAAGAGATGTCTCGACGTACCACATATGAATCGGAAAATCAATAATTTCAATAATATTCAGAACATCAGATAAGCACAATCTCTATTCTCACATTTTGTTAAAAAGATAACAGGGGATATCTGATCAGGTGAATGGAAAATTTTGTATGTGTATACAGATTGTAATGAGAATTATAACAAATTAGTTACAAGATATATTAACAAGATAATATATTTTAAAATCATTAAATACAGTTTTTAACATTTAATGTGAAATGTGAGCACGGATGAACTTTTATTAAATTTAATTTTAGCATTTATAATTAAAATTTTTCTTTTTTTAAAATTTCTACCGAAGGATTATACATAACAAAGATAAAAAATATCTTTCTAAAAGACGTTAATTGTGTCTCAAAGTGCAATCTTCTTACATTCACGTTTCTCCTTATTACTAATTATCGTGTTTGCCTGTCATAATTGTCTACATTTGTGTTTGATTAGAGAACATCACGACAAAGTAATTACGCCTTAACAGAGACGACCAGAAAAGCATCAACGTGAAGTGGCAAACCGGTCAATAGGGATACCAATTACACAATAAACGCCAATAATATTCTTGAATATAGAATGACAAATCAGCGATAGAAACATATTAATGATATAGGTATTATATTTGAGAATTATTTAAATAGCTAAAAAAAATAATGTCAAAAAATGTTGGTTAACCAAAAAAATACTAGACTATAAATAATTATTTACAAATAAATAGATATTTAAATTCAATGGCAATTTTTTTTTATTCAGTAAAAATAACTAAACACTTTTAATTGAAAATATTCGTTTCTCTCTCTCTCTCTCTC